TGGCTTGCCAGCCTCCTGGCCTGTGCCTCCCCTCTGCTTGGACAGCAGAGCAGAGAGCATTGTGGGCCAGGGCCTTGGGACACTGCCAGACTTCCTCCTTGTGCCAGGGCTCGGCTGCTGGCTGAGGAGACCCTTGAATCAAAAGTCAGGTTTGCTCATTTTGAGACAGGTTGGCCTCAGACTTCCAGTGTAGGCCTCCCTGAGTTCTGGGATTCTAGGCATGCACCACCACAGCTGGTTCATTTAAAAAAGAAAAGAAAGAAATCACAAAACTGTTTTATAATACTTTCAAATAGGCCACATCTTCCTCAAATGTTATAAATGTGCAAAGATTAGACTGGGGCTGGCCAGATAGCTCAGTGGACTAAAGCACCTGCTTAGACAGCACAGGGACCAGGATTCAATCCCTGGTGTGCCATGCTGGCCCTGTCCCTGGGGCATGCTGAGACAGCAATTGAGACTAGGTGTGGTGGCACGTGCCTGCAATCCTAGCACATGGGAGGCTGAAAACAGGAGGATCACTAAAAGTCCAATCTGTGTAGTGAAACCCTATAGACCCTGTACTAAATACAAAGAAAAAGATTATCCTGGTGACCCTGAAGCTGTAATCTCAAACTTACATATTTGTGTTTTGATTGAGTTCAACATTGTTCATCCCCATAACCTTTCCTGAGGTTTAGCATCTGTACTCTGAGCAAAGGATAATGGGTGGGCTCGGGCCTGGCACATGATTCTCCTCTTAGATGCAAGGCGGGGCCCCTGGCATGGCCTCTGCAGGTCCAGAATGGTGCACTGGACCCTGGTGGAGCACACAGCTCATTCTGCCATGTTACCAGCCTCTTCACTGGAATTCCATTGGCCACACTGCACACCCAGGGCCCCTGGGCTTCCTTCCACTTATAGCCTTACTCACTTCAGCGACCTCTTTCAGCAGGAGCCTCGCCATGCCCCGTCCCAGTCGTACCAATCCCCACGCTGCTAGGTCTGTTCAGCTTCTGTGCTGCCTACTGGTGGGAACAGCTGGAATCGTTTTATAAACAAATGGCAGCTTCCCCCAGGGGCCATGAGTGTCCCAAATGATAAAGCTTAAGCAAAAGGAGGGAATTCATTTGTCCAGTATACTTCTGGCTCTGGCAAGACGCCAGCCCTGGGTCCCTCCGGCTCTGCCCCTCTCCTTCGGGCAAGCCTTCTCCAGCAGTGGAATGAAGTGACTTGGGCAACCCTAGGTTTCTGGTCAGTGCTGTGCTTTCTGCTTTCAGCCCCTCCCTGGGGGGCTGCAGGTCTTCACTGGCTGTCAGTCACATCAGGGACGATGTCCTGCGCACCAAGAACCTCTAAAAGCACGGAAGTAGAGGCACTTGGCAGCCGCAGTTTACAGTGCAGTTTTGGCCAAGTCCAAGAATCACACCATGCACAACCAGTCCTGAAAATGGCACAGAAATGGCATCAAGAAACCTCAGTCACAATGATATGAATCTCTGAAGAGGGTAGATCCCAAGTTCCTTAGGAACATGCATTTTTCCAAGAAGCACAACAAGAAGGGCTTCAAGAAGGTGCAAGCAAACAGTGCCAAGGCCATGAGCGCATGCACCGAGGCTATCAAGGCCCTCGTTGAGCCCAAGGAGGTCAAGCCCAAGATCATCCCAAAGGGAGTAAACCACAGGCTTGCTCAATTTGCCTACACTGCCCACCCCAAGCTTGGGAAGCATTGCCGTGCCCGTATTGCCAAGGGTCATAGGTCTTGTTGGCCAAATGCCCAGGATCCAGCCAAGGCCGAGGCTCCAGCTTCTGCTGCAGCCAAGGTCCAGGCTCCCAAAGGTGCCCAGACCCCTGTGAAGGCTCCACAGTAAAAGCCTCGTATCTGCTAATATAAAAATGGAAGGTCTCATGTGGCCCCTGGAGTGCCATCTGTGGGGGGCTGGTGTCCTCCTGTGCTCTTTGTACAAACAAACCTGAGGCAAGAAAAAAAAATAATAAAAATGTAAAAGTAGCGGCAGGCCCTGGTTTTCATGTTTGGGAATGTGATTTTCCCAGAGCATCCACAGAGCTGGATTTCTTTAGATTACACCTTGGACTCATTGACCTGGTTTTGGGGGATAAGACAGGTGGGAATGAGGGGAGTTCTGTGCCCAGATAGACCACAATTGTCCCCAAGTTCATGAGGGAAAGGAGGCCCAGGTGGCTTCCCAGGCCTAGCGGCAGCTTCCGTCTGCCACATCAGCACCTCTGGGAAGTTTTTTTTTTTTTTTCTTTCTTTCTTTTTTTTTGGCAGGACCGGGATTGAACTCAGCCCCTTGCGCTTGCCAAGGAAGCGCTTATTCTACAGAGCTATCCCCTGGCCCTCTGGGAAGGCCGCTGTTGCACAACGTGGGCTTGCATGTCACTGCCCGCTCCTCACAGCATGAAGTCCCCTTCCTCTTTTCTGTGGGCTACACCACTGCTCAATTACAAGGGTTTCTCATATCTTGGTGTGAAGCTCCCAGCTCTCTGTACACAGATGTGATGGGGTCTCCGTGCTCCACGGGATCCTCTGGGATAATGTCACAGTGTTGAAAAGCCACAGGGAAAACCAGGTACAATTTCAAAGCTCAAAATCTAGGACTTGGATTTATGGGCATCTGTTACTAACTTCCCTTCTGCCTCCCACCAGCCATGTTCCTCTCTTATCAGCCCTCTTTCTTCACAGGATTATGAGAAATTTTAGATACACTAAATTCCTAACCAAAAAGAGCAGATGCAATAAAAGACTCGTGAGATTTTCTCATAATTGCAAGAGGAAATTTGAGGCCTTTTCCCATCTGTGATGGGAGCTTGTCCTAATAGTGTCACATGTTTGCTAGCCCGAAGGAACTGAGGCACAGGAGTGGAGACCTCAGCAGGCAGGGGGTGGGCTCAGAATGCACTTCCGGTGGTGGGCCTGCACCGGAAATGGGCTCTTTCCCTCTTGCACCTGTGAACTCAGGAAGCATCTGAGACATCCATACTGTGTCTCTGGAGAGGTAGGGGGACACAGCCGCAGAATCGGCTGGACACTGCCTCCAAGTTGTTGTGACACTTCTCACAACCCCAGTTGGTCTTCATAAGTAATCTCTAAGCGCCCCCTGAGCAAGTCTGAGAGCCCCCAGAGCATGTGCGAGTAGGAGTGGTTGGCATGTGGCCCAGAGCACCACCATCATTGGGAAGCACAGAAAGCCTAAAGGACCATGTGTTTTGAAATTAGATAGTTTTGCCTTTTTATTTTTGTCTTTGTGGGGGGAGGTATGGTAGATTGATCTGGGGGTGTTGTACATGCCAAGCAAGCATGCTCCCACGCAAGTACATCTCCAGGTTTTTAAAGGTTTACATTGAGATGGGTGTTGAGTTGTGCAGGCTAGTCTCAAAGTTGTGTTCGTCCTGCCTCAGCCTCCCAAGCAACTCAAATTTCAAATGTGTACTACATCATGCCCTGTGACAGGTATGCCTTATAAATTCTGGCACTGACTCCGTGATACTGGTTGGAATAGTTACTTTTTTTCAACCTTGATTTCTTCTATTATGAAATGGGTAGAATCAGGCCTACCTTGCAGGTATGATAAAAGGATTGGAGACATATATAAATGTACACACTAGCTATCCTCCTGAGAATCCCCTGGCTTTGAGCACACTTGCCTTCTCCTCCTTATCCTTTCTGGAGGAGTCCGGTAGTCCTCTTTGGCTGGTGTCATGCCTGCCCTCCTCTTCTGAGTGTATTTAGCATGTTGACTTTTCATGGTCATTTTGAATTTGAAGAAGAGCCAGCTCTTCTTCAAATGATGCCAGCCCTGGTGAACAAGGAGGCAAAGGCACTGTGGTGGTGTACAAGCTCCTGCCTTTCTGTCGGATGACACTTAGCAGCAGCATTCACTGTATTTTTTATCACACCTTGTAAAACTCACAGAAGGACTTCAGAGCAGGCCCAGTAGTAGCAGGAAAAATAGGGTAAGGGGATCCATGTGCCTTCTACTGTAATCAACTTAAACCATTAGATCTCCGCCTGCATTAGACCCTTGCATCCCTGGTACGCCTCAAACAAATGAGAAAATACAGGAGTGTGGGGGCCGAGCTTGGGGCACTTGCGCGGGACGGCCTCTGAGAGGAGGCCTGAAGGACAAGGACACAGAGACAAGTGTCTGGGAATGGGGGCAGCCAGTGCAAAGCCTGGGTGGACTGCCAAAGAATCCTGGCTGAACTGGGAGGGGAGCCCATGGGACAGGGGCCAGGATACAACAGAAAATGGGCTGTTGGACAGGACTGAAGACAGAGGTTGGGTCAGAGGGCTTTGAGAGTGTAGGAGTTTGGACAGTAAGTACCTGAGTCATTCAGGCTGCCATGGGAGATGGATCATTAAGCCATAGAAGTACTGTATGTAGCTCTGCTGGCCCTTTGGTGGTGACCCAGGCAGAGCTGACAGCACCTCCAGGGTGACCAAGGGCACAGAGAGCTGTGTGCATTCAGATGTATTTTGCAAAATGGGATGATAGGTGTTGTGGTGATACTGGGAGGCGAGAGATGGTAAAGTGGAAGGATGGAGAATGGTCGCTAGGAGATGCATTCGAATAGTGTGTGTGTGTGTGGGGGGTGAGCCCAGGGCATTTGAGGGTTGGGGAAAAAAATCAGGATATTATTCTGTCTGCAGCTATTGAGGCCCGTGGCAGTTTCCACAGCCAGTCTTTCCTGTGGCCTTCCTCTCTAAGAGTGCTGTCTGTGTCCCCCGCAGCAGGCCGTGTGTGCCCACACGCCTGCAGCGCTGTCCCGAAAGTGCCTGATCCACTCTGGCTGTGGGCCAGGAAGGAACAGTTAGCTCATGCAATTCCCACAGGGCAGGGTGGGCGGCGAGGGGCAGGGCTGGCATCTGCTCTGGAGCCCCACGTTCAAGGCCAGCTCCAGGCCAAACAGCTTGGCGGGAGACGGCAGCATGCAGGCGGGCGGGCTCTGCCCAGCAGCTGTGAGGGTTTGTGCTCAGGGTGCGCTTGTCTTGACAGCTGGGACGACAGCAGCTCCGTCAGCAGTGGCATCAGTGACACCATAGACAACCTCAGCACGGATGACATCAACACCAGCTCCTCCATCAGCTCCTACGCCAACACACCTGCCTCCTCTCGCAAGAACCTGGACGTGCAAGTATGGAGCATGGGCCCCGGGCCATCTGGGGAGGGTAGTGTCCAGCCTACGAGGGGAGTCCCAGCCTCAGGAGGCTGAGGCAGGAGGATCCCTGAGGGTCTAAAGCCAGCCCAGGCTACGTAGTGAATGTAAACCCTGCTCGCACAAACAACATAGTGAGACTATCCAAAACAAACCAAAAATGCCACCAAAAATAAATAAATGAAAACAAACCGAAGGATGCTGGGCTGTGCTGGGGGATCTCACCCTAGAGCACGGCCCCTTTTCATCCCAGTAACCGCTGCTGTCCTCTGGACGTGTATTCCATCCTTCCAGAGTGCTGGCTGGGAGCTAAGATCGGGAGCTCTTGACCAGGGGATGTGTGTCCAGGCCCGAGGCTGGGAACAGCCTGTGCGTGTTCCCTGTGCCCCTGCCAGTGTGTTCTGTGTAACCTGCAGTATTACTCTGCTAGTAAACAGGATTCTGAAACTGCATTATTTCACATGAAAATGTGCTTCTGGTTTCTCTTTAAAAAACAAAAGTAGGCTGGGGAGATAGTTCGGCGGTCTAGACACCTGCCTGGCAAATGCAAGGACCAAGGTTCACTCCACGGTGTTGCATGCCTATAATCCCAGTGCTGGGGAGGTTGAGACAGGAGGATCACTACAAGTCTGAGCTGCATAGCAAGACCCTATACCAAATAAATGAAAGATTAAAAAATAAAAATATAAAAAAATTTAAAACAAAAAACAAAAGTAGAGTTTTGGCTCCAGGTGGCAGCAGTCAGCAGATATGCAAGTGTCGGGCTCCTTCAGGCAGGTCACTGCGCCAATGCCCCGCTGATCCTGACCACCTGCTGCGTGACTTCAAAACGCTCACCCGAACCCAGGGAAGGAGCATCTTTCAGCGCCCCCAGACGCTCAGCTTTCACATTTGAGACAGTGCATTGCGCGTGGGCACCTGCGCCCGCCCGCCTTGGGTTTCCCAGCTGAAAAAATGAGTGCCACCGAAAGGGGCGGGTCCGGGTCCTCAACCGGCTCCGCCCAAGTGGTGCTGTTATGTCCCGTTTGGTCCTCCTGCTGGTGGGAGCCTCTGCCTGTGGCATGAACCCCGGGGGTCACCTGATAGAACCAGGTGGCCACTGGGTTCTTGGGAAGGGCGGAGCACACACGCCCGCCCCCTCCTCTTCCGGCAGCTGTGACCTCTCGGCTCTCTCAGCCTGGCCTCTGGGAGAGCAGAGCTGAGCAGAGGGTGCGTCAGCGCACGGACGATTGTGTCCTGTAGTCACGTGGACGCGGCTGCCTGGCGCAGCGTCTGTAACCGCGTCTGCACCATGACATTTGCAAGCATCCAGGGCCACGGAGACCATGGGGAAGGCAGAGACATCTCCGGATTCGCTTCCACTTTTTTTTGTTGTTGTTGTTTTGTTTTTGTTTTTGTTTTTATTTTTTTTTTATTTTTCAACAAATAATACACTGCATATATTCTTCGTAGTAGTTAATTGCTGTACAAGATGCGGACTTGTGATCCTATTTACAAACACCATTAGAACAAATCATTCTATTCATTAACAGAATGTAACTATATATCTATCCCAACCACTTTGAATACACAGATACAAAATGGACATTCATCTGTATACCCCATTTTTTCTAAGTTCCGTTATTGAATATTATAGGTGTGTAAACTCAGCAAAATATTCTAAAAGAGTCCAGTAGCCCATAATAGCATTGGGTCTTCTGTTTAACTGGCAATGTCAGGAATTATTGACCTGAGTCCCCCACAGCTCAACTTAACAGCATGGCTTTATTTCTTATAATTTCGTCTTCATACTTTTCTGCTGGATGGTTAAGACCAAGGTAAAGCAGGACCTATGCAACAAGAGTTGTAGCTTTTTGGTCTGAGAAGGTCAGTGAAATGCCCTCAGGATTTGTCCTGAGATCCTGTCGCTTCCACTTTTGATGTCTTCATTTTAGCCGGAATTTGTAACTGTTTTGGGGAGTGAAGACGGGCTGAGATAGATAGATAGATAGATAGATGATTGATAGATAGATAGATAGATAGATAGATAGATAGATAGACAGACAGACAAGACAGACAGACAGACAGACAGACAGACAGACAGACAAACTCCAAATGAAAAAAGGACACAAAGCATGCTAATTTTTAAAAATTTACTCAGGCTCCCCTTAATGTTGTTCAGTTCATTTTAGGAATATTCCAGGTCATTAAGCAAGTATTAACAACCAGACTGTGAGCCGCACTGCCTGGGAGCAGTCACTGTTCATCAGTGATTAGACACAAATTAGAAACACCCAGCCACCCACCCGACACTGTATGTCCTACGTCCTGTCCACCGTGTCCCTTTCCTTGTGGATGGTGGCTCTTTGGTTTTTCTCCTGAAGCTCATTCTATACCAAAGGGGACAAGCAGTAAGCACCCTGCTGTTAGGTACACAAGTAGGGGTCCCTATATGGGGACCGCATGGCAAAGATCAGGAAGCTGTGAGGTGGGCCACCTATGCCAGCATTTGGGATGCGGTCCCTGACCTCAGCCCTCCTGCAGAGCGCAGAGCTATAGGAGCCCAGAGTTCCACAAATATCTCGTGCTTAGAGACCCTCGTCTATCATCACGGCACAGTTGAATGTGTTTAAAGCCAGGGGCCACCACACCTCTTTGTCACCCATTCAGTTTGCAAATATTCCATCAGAGGAAGTTCAAGAATACTAGACAAGGGCTGGTGAGATGGCTCAGTGGTCTAAAGCACCTACTTAGAACTAGCTTAACAAAGCACAGGGACCGCGGTTCAATCCCCAGCACCACATACCAGCCAGCCCCGGCCCCTGGTGGGCTGAGCTGGCCACACACACACACACATAAATAAAGTTCTTTAAAAAAAAAAGTATCATGTCATCTGCAAATAAAGATAATTTTTAAAAAAAGAATACTAGACAAAAGTCTTTACATCAAGATAAAAGGACGGGAGGCCTACTTTTCCTACGGTAGTTATTTCCTATAAATGTATCAGAGCTTAAACTATTAAAATAGCAAGGTAGGGGCTGGGGAGATGGCTCAGTGGAATAAGCAATTGTCTGTCAAGCGGAAGGGCCTGAGTTCAATCCTTGGTTCTACAAAATAAATAAATAAATAAAATAGAATAGAATAGAATAGAATAGAATAGCAAGGTGTGATGACACCTGTCTATCCTCCCAGCAGTCTGGAGACTGAGGCAGGCTTTCTGTGAATTCAAAGCCAGCCTCAGCTAGATATCAGGGTCCTTCCTCCACATACAAAAAAGGAGCAAAATAAAAACTCGAAGAGCAGGTCGTGGGTAACAAAAAGAGACCTCAGTTTCTCTATTCCAGAGCAGTTCCAGGGATCTCTATCTGCCACTGTAGATTTTTAGTGCTGTTCCTTTGTTCCCATCCAGGGAGCATCTCAAAATATTTGAATCAGCGTAATTCGCAGCTTCCCCTTCCCACCACCTCCTCCTGCAGGCTGAGGGAGGCCAAGGGCCATTACTCCTCTCCCAGCCACATCACCGTGGAGGATGTGCCGTGCACCCTGCCCGGCGCTCCTCTTGCCCGGCTCATTCAATTCTGTCACATGCTGGCTGCCCCTAGGCTGCCCAGACCGGAGTTAGGAGGCTGGGTTCACATCCGGGGAACCAGGATGTAATTGTCTGGCAAGACGGTAGAGATTGAAGGAGCAGGAGGCGGCTAATGGGAAAGAATGAATGAACGGAAGTCCCCTTTGTCCTGGACATTGAGGACTGCTAAGGTCGACCCAGCGGGTACGCATGGCCAGCTGTCCCAGCCCCAGCTGTGGACAGACCTCCCCCAGGACAACTGGTGAGTCCAGGAGCAACCACAGCACAGTGTCCCAGCAGACACCAAGTCAAGTGTGACATCCTCACAGGAGCTAATCAATGCAACTATAAAATAGCACAATCGCACTGAGCTGGGTGAGCTCGTCAGAACGTGCATCTCCTGGTGAGAGACTGGAGGGGTGGCTCAGAAGTTTCTCCAGCCCTTCCTCAGACCGTCCTTTTCTACTCTTCCTTTTCCTTTCTCCATCTGTCCCTCCCTCCCTCCCTCTCTCCTTCACTTTCTCTGTCCCTCTGGATTTCCTGCCCTCTCCCTCTTCCATTCAGGGTAGAAACCTAACATGTACTGTATCTTTTTTTTTTTCCCCAGAAGCAGAGATAGAACTCAGGCCCTTGCACTTGCCAGGGAGGTGCTTATTCCACTGAGTCATCTCCCCGGCTTTTTTTTTTTTTTTTTTACTGTATCCTTAATGAATTTGCTCGTAGTTTCAGAACAGCTCTTATCTTCATGTACAGCAGTTTGCTTGGGGGCCATGTGTCGGAGCAGAGGGTTGACACACTCGTGTCTCTCCCTGCTGTAGTCATCCACGCACTCCTTCACTGGTTCACGTCCTCACTTGGTTTTGTGGAAGGCAGCATGCTGAGGACGGAGGAGCGGAGACGCATGAGTCAGGATGTCCCTTCATCATGTGCCGGTGGAAGTTTACTAAAATAGATGGGGGGGAAATATATGTCCCCTACTGGTTTACCTTTTGCTAATCAGAGAATTACAGTTCTGAGACCTGTGTCCAGGTTCCTTTTCTGGAAGGCCGTGGGTAGTGCTGGAACCCTCGGCTGTGCCCTGGCCGTTGGGGGCACTGAGCTGGAGCCAGGGGACCCCGCTTGCTAGGAGCTGCTCTCCTGACTGGAAAGTTACTTCCCCTCTGCAAATATGGTTTTGCATGGGCTGTGAAGCATGGTGAGTAATACAGCCAAGGAGGACAAGGAGCTAAGACTGTGTGGTGGGACTCGGTACCCCATGGGACAAGTGGCCAGTGACGGGGCTGATGCCAGTGACTTCTGTTGTCAGTGGGGTTCCAGTCCACATCGTGCTGTCTGTGTGAGGGTCTAGGACTGAGCAGGGAGTGTCCCCGGCCTCTGTGGCTTTGGCCATAGCAAGAAGAGACGTAGCCTGTTTAGCCTCGCGAAAGACAAAACTGGGATCCACTCTTACCATAGCCATGGATGCTGAAGGCCGGGTTTTTCAGAGGTGGGAGGGTTGGTGACAGAGACACCTTTCTAGGGGCCTCTCCACCTGCAGCTCCTTGAACTCCCTAGCCCCTCCCTAGGAGGTCTGGAACACAACACAGCAATCTCACGGATAGAAAGTGACTTCCCTCAGGTCATGAAGCAAGCAGGTGGCAGTGCCCAGCACTTGAACTCCAAAGCCTGTGGCCTTACACCACCTATCATCTCCTCAGAAGCTGGCCTCCCCCGGGGGCCCTTCTAACTTGTCTCCCCCGACTCCCTTGCCCACCAGGCTGTTGAATGGTGAAGGAGCTGCCAAGTGGCGGCGGTAGCAAGGTCCTTCAGAGGCTGCCTGAGGCAGTGCACGTCCATAATCCAGCACTCTGGGAAAGGGCGGCAGGGAAATCGCAAGCCTGAGCCTAGCATGGGTAGCTCGGTGATTTAGTAAGATCTTGCCTGCAAGAGGAGAAAAACTTAGTGTGAAGGCTGTGGGGTTTGATCCCCAGTACCAGGAAGAGAAGAAGGGACGGAAGGAGGAGGTTGGTACAAATCCTTAGAGAAGAATTGCTGCGGAGATATAAACACACAGCTAATACAAGTCCCAGAGCAGACGCCTAGCCATTCAAAAAGCTGACAAGGACCCAGTTCAGGGGAGTGAGGCCGGAGGATTATTCTTCATTGAGAGGAAGACAGGCAGGCAGAGACAGAGACAGAAGCTGTGATCTTCAGCCAGGGTCTTGGCTGGTTGGAGTATAGCCAGCCAGCCCGCTAGCCCACTCAGATGTATGGAATGGGAACACCCCATGTAGGGATAGTATTAGGCATTAAAGGGTTTGTAGCACTTCTTCTGTGCTGGGACTTAGAGAACCAGTGAATGCTACATGCCTGGGCATGTGGCCGTGGATGTGGATGTGGCCGTCGGCCACCTGGGATACCTCCATCACTAGCTCGTCTTCCTCTTTGTCGTCAGCTTGGGCCTCTTTTTTTGCTTCAATGCGTGGTTTCCTATTTTGCTTTTGTTAGTACATTTGCAGTACATAACAATTGTATTCATCATGGGGAGCTGGTATGTGTGCACGTATTTTCCTCCATGCCCTCTTCCTTGCTCAAAAAAAGTTTCTCTCCCTCCCTCCCTCCCTCCCTCCTTTTTCTTAATGCCTCCTTTTCTGTGTAATCTGCCTTTTCTAGGAGCCTGAGAGATAGCTCCATAGAATAAGTGCTTGCCTGGCAAGCACAAGGGCCTGAGTTCAATCCTCGGTTCTGCAAAAAAAAAAAGAAGTATCAAGCCTTTTAAGGGCCAGTGGTATAGCTCAGCAGACTAACCGCTTGCTTAGGTAAGCGCAGGGGCCGGGGTTCAATCCCAACCCCAGGTGCGCTGAGCCAGTGATGGAGTCCAGGTGTGGTGGCACACGCCTGTAATCCCAGCACTTGGGAAGGAGAAATCGGGAGGATCGCTATGAGTCTGGACTGTGTAGTGAGACCCTGCACACACACACAAAAAGAAAACCTAATCTGCCTTTTCTATTTAGTCTTTCAGTGTCTCACCACAAAGAGACAATGTGCGATTTACATGTCTCTCCAATTTCTTTTGCTTTGGACTTCTTACTCTGATTTTATATCATTTTATTTTCTCCTCCTTGCCTCAGTCCTCTTGGGTAAAATGGAGCATGTGAACTGTTACTTACTCCCTTGCGGTTTCTGACATCAGTGAAACTTAGAGGAACACACAGATCATGTTAGCTCGGGGCTCGGCATGCAGTCGGGGCTCAGTGAGTTTTGATTGGCACTTACCACTATTATTGACACCATTACGATGTGATTGGGGAAACAGATCTAAGAACATTCAAAGAAATAATGCGGTAACCCAGGATGTGCAATGTGGTAAATTTATAGTATATTTTCAAGCACTTGTTTTTGTCTTTTTGACACAGGGTCTCACTATGCAGTTCAAGCTGGCCTTGAGCTCGCTTTGTAGCCCAGGCTGGTCTTGAACTTGCAATGATCCTCCTGCCTCAGCCTCCCCAGTGCAGGGATTACAGGTATGCACCACCGTGCCTGGCTAGAGCACAGTAGAATATGTTAGAATATACTTAAATGCAAACTCAATGAAATTGAAGACTTGAATTTGATTATTGTAGTATTCCCTGTGTAAATAAGCTTACCTAGCTCACAGTGGTACCAAGTAATACTTACTAAGTAAATGCTTCCAAAGCCAGGCTTTTCTTGCCCTGAGCCCTCTGTATATGCAGTTCCGGCTCCTGGGCCTGCTTTTCCCTTACTCCTCTTAGTAAGTTAATTCTTCAAGTCTCTTCTCCCACAAGATCCTAGCTTACTGCTGCTCCACACCTTCTCCTCCTCGTCAAGATCTGCACTAGTTCCAGGTCATCCAAACTGCCCTCTCCTTAGAAGAATCCACAATGATGGATTTGTGTTTACCTGTTCAATCTCTGCCTGTCTCACTGACTGCAAACTCCCTAGGGGCTGGGAATGCCTGTGATCAGACCCTCCAGGTGTCTGGGCGTGGACTCTGGGCGGATGGATGACCTGAGGCACTTACAGGACCTGGGCTGTGAAGCTGGGACAGTGGGGTGGGGGGGTTCCTGCTCCTCCAGAAATGGAGCTGAAGGCCACGCTCGGTCCTTCCTTCACCCCATGACCAGAGGGTGCCTGAGTCGGACAGGCGTATGGTCCTCATGGTGCATCTCTGTTGCTCACTCCATCACTCACAGGGTCCTGGTGGACTCCTGCGCCCCGCCCCAGTGTGGGTCTCCCGCTTTGTGGTGCTTGCCCCGGCTTTCACACCGGGGCTGCCCTGCTCGCCTGCCATCTCTGCTGCCTTTGCCAGAAGTCAGCATGTGTCTGAGGAGTGACACAGCAAAGGAAGGAGCCCTCAGGTAGTTGGGACAGAGATGCAGGAGTTGTAGCAGGAGCAGACATTGGCGAGAGGCGGGAGGCGAGTCACCTTGAACTCATCTGCCATTTTGGTTCCCTTTGGCCACAGCATCCGGGAGAGGAGTATGCTATGGCCTGACATGCATCGGGCCAGGTCCTTATCTTGTGGTCATTGTCATGTGCTGCCCACGCTTGGTAGTGTGGCACTTGTGTCCCGAAGTGTTGCTGCCCTTCCTGCCCCCTGTGCCATGTTCCTTCCGACCGTGTCTTTTGGTGTAGCATGTCCTTACCCAAATGTGCT